ATAGTATTTACGTTACTTATACATGTGATTTACCTCTGTTATAAATCCTCGAGTACTGTGTGTGTCAGCATACCGATCCAGGGATGACACTTAAGCACAGAGACTTGATCCATTCCGGTCGGGTCGCTACAGGGAAAAGGAAAAAAGAAGAGATCTCTTAAAAGGAAAAGATCATGTAGCAAGTTGGTCTAGTCGAAGCTCCTGCCAGAGATTGCCAGTCGTTTCTTCGACGATCACGTTCGACTCAGAAGTGCAAAATGAAAAGGAATAGCAGAAATAAATGGAAAATAGAAGGTATCTAGACGTACAATGCAGCATGCAGCAATAGCAACAACATTTGCAAACCGAAGTAGCACACAAGCAAGGAACAAAGCCATGGTCACTCGAGATCAGAAAACGTTGCTTCAACAGATGGTCCATATGTAAAAAAAATATTATATCCGGTGGTCCGGTAGCCCATATAGCTCCTCTCTGCCGGACGCCGAGCTCCCTTCTCCTCTGCGCCGCCGTCTGCAGTAGCGACCAATCCAACCGGCAGCCATCTTCTTCCACCCCGTGCACAAGGTGTTTGACGGAATTCCCGAAGGTAAAAAAATGACGAAAGTTGATGATTTCAATTGGGAATGGATAGTATCATGACTTCTTGCGTGACTATGCATAATATGATCATTGAGAACGAGTGTGGAAAAAATTTAGATTACAACTTTTATCACTTGATGGGCATTCCTGTTAACCCCATGTGAAAAGAACAACGGATCAGACGTTTCATGAAGGTGTACAGTGAGATTAGAGACACCGATGTGAATGATCAACTCCAGAAGAATTGATGAAAGAGCATTGGAAATGGCATGGCGAAAGAGATGCATAGATTCATTATTTGTTTGTGAAAAACTATGTTGTATTGTAGAAAACTATGTTGTATTTGTGCTGTATTTGATCTCGTGGATTTCAAAAACTATATAATAATTTAATATTGTGGACATTTATAATTTTTTATGTTGTTTTTAGATGTTTTTTGCGATATGTGAGGCTGTACAGTGGCTGAACAGCAGCCGCGCAGCCGCCGGCCAGTTTTACATCTTCGTTTTGGACCATCTGTTGGAGTTGCTATTTTTTTTACATCTCCGTTTTGGATCATTTGTTTGAGTTGAGCCTTTTTCGGAAATGTAAAAAGCACTATTTGTTGCTCCAAATTTGGACCATCACCGGTTTGAAGCACCAAAATATACATCATCTATTGGAGATGCTCTTAGCTCAACTCAGCTCCAGGGCTTTCTATCCTCATCTTATAGAACGCAATCAGAAGCGTAATCTCGGTGTCCACTCATCTCCAGAGCTTCCACGCAAGGCACTTGGCTTACTCAACTGCCACCTTCAGGTAAACCAGTCTTTAAGATAACATGATTGATTTGACGATGAGGCTAATCTATAGCTACTTAATTGGTTGTTCTAATGTTGATCTTGTTTGTTTTGTTCCTGTGTTCAGATTTGATACTCAGACAGATCATGGACAAAGCACCATATTCTGATTGCACCCCCGCTGCATTGGCAAACTTCGATAAGTTCATGGGACGACAGATGTTGCAAGTGAATGCTCTCCTGGTGGAGAACACCATCCTGATGGGAATCATGGCCGGGATAGACGCTTATGGCCATCGCTACCGTCACCATCCATTGACCTGCTACCTCTTCCTTGGTGCCACCTGTTCTTGCCTATCATCTCCTATATTGCCTCTGTCACTGATGTTCAGTATATCGTCGCTGTTATGGCTCCTTATAATATCATAGCCACGGGGAATTGCGATCCAGGCATTAACCCCGGCCTGGTCTTAGTATGGATTTCCATTGTTATGATTGTTGGTATCAATACAACCACAATAGTTGCCGCTCATGCTCGAGAAGGTCGAAGCATTGCGCCTCTTGCAGTACTGCTAGTGCAAGCAATATGGACAACCTATCTTGGGGTCGACACCATGCAAGGTCCAAATCGAAGTTTGTCATCCCTAGAAGATATAAAAGGATACGTCACCTCGGTGTCTGTTCTTGCCATTTTTGCACCATTGGCTCTTATCATTGCCAAATATTTGTCAAGTATTATGCATGGTACGGTGTTAGACAATCCTTCGTGTTTGGACACAATCCTCGTCTTATTGTTGGATACATGGAGCAGCTACCAGATAGAAGTCAGCATGCCAAGGAAGTCAGTGAAAATATGCCTCCTCCTCTTATAGTCACAGTAGAGGACACATTGTTGGTACAGAAGAACCCTCATGGTTAAACTATTAGTAGAGGTGATGGGACGGGGATGAACAACAATGGCTTAGTGACCATTGATAAAGTCTGGGAGTCGGAAGACATCTTTCACAAGTCAACAGCACAACTCAAGGATCTATGGTTTTCATTTGCTTGGTTCAAGCTGCAAAGGTGTCGTTTCACAAAAGACACTGCCGCTGAAATTGCCTTCATAAAGGCCTGTAACTTCTTATGGCATCTGTTGGCCGGGGATAGGGATGGTGGAAGGGTACTTGGGTTGATTGCATATGAGCTTTCCTCTCTACATGACTATTATTATTCCTCCCTTCCAACCTCATACTCCAAGAGTTGGCTGCCCATCTTGAGCATATTCCTTTCACTCTTAAGCATTGGTTATTGTTTATAGGCCGCAATTATTCTAAAGATAAGTTTACCCTACTATTGGAGTGACATGGGTGCACACTAGATAAGTTGTCGTGTCCAGTGCAAGTGGGATCATACTGGAGTTGGTTCTGAGATGCTTTTCGGAAATTTATTGTTTGATTTGTTGCCATTGTTCTCATTAGCTGCATTAGTCGTGCTCTGTGAGGTGATGGATATTGCATCCTACATCTGCTCAGACTGGACTGAAGTGGCCTTAATGTGCCGCTATGTAAGCCATGATTCTTGGCGTGGATATCCTACATTGCGAAAATGGATTGGCCTATTATTACAACACAGATGCAAGGTAGTGAAGCCTTGGCGGGACAAAATGAATCAGTGCCCATTCATAGAAAAACGCCGGTGGCTCTTGTTGGGCGTCTCGTTCCTCTTCCTGGGCCAAAGAAGAACATCGACACACCAAGAGAGGTGAAGACTACCATTGCCAACACATTAAGAAACAGCATGGGAGACCTCAGAAATGGCATGAGATGTTTGCAACTCGGCGTGCAAGTCGGGGTCAACCTCCTCGTGGCATGAAGCACCAAAGGTACATCTGACGCCTTACTTGCATGGCACATCGCCACAAGCATCTTTGAGGTGAGGCACCCACAGTCATCACCAGTTTCTGGCAAGAAGATTGCTGCCAGCCACTTTTCACGCCACTATGCCTACTTAGTGGCATATTCTCCTGAGCTACTTCTGGATGACTATGCGTGGAGCAAGAGCCTTTGCAAGGCCACCAAGTAAGACGTTGAGCGTGTCCTTGCCGGTCGCGTCGCCAAGTTGACACCTGAACTGGAATATCAGCAGTTGGTTGAGTTGCTGCGTGCAAGGTCGAAGCATGAGGTGCTCAAGGATGGTGCGAAGCTTGGCGAGCAACTGGTGGGGTGGATTGAAGAAGAGGAAGAGGGGTGGAAGGTTCTGGCTGGATTTTGGTGTGAGGTGATCCTGTATATTGCTCCGTCGGATAACTTCGATGGGCATGCGGAGGCAATTGCCTGGGGCGGCGAGCTGATTACACTCATGTGGGCACTACTCACCCATGTTGGCGTTGTCAGTAGGCCTGAGGCCGCCCGTGCCAGTATTCGTGTTTCTAATATTTCTTAGGTACTAGGCCAGTGTTGTTCCAAGTCTAGTCTGTTTTGTGCCGCATTTCAGTTACTGCCATTTGATTTTGTTCTCGAGTGATTGATGTATTTGCCACTGTAAGTTTGTAACGAAACGATCTGTGTTGCATTGCACCATCTTTATTACGTGCTTGTCCGAACATATCTTTATGATTAGAAAATACCAATAGAGACCATTGGCAGTTATCTGAATTAATGTGATTGTAACAAATCAACCAAGTTGTTCCCTTCATTTATTATTTTTGAAAGAAAAAACGCGGCAGAAAATGTGACTCTGAGGGTTCTCTACACTATGCTGCACATGGTGGTTATCTCTTCCAGTTGTCTCTGACATTCCTTTCCCTGGAGGTTCTCTTCACTGATGAATCTTTGCTGGTAGTGGTATATATAGCATATCTTTGGATGTAAAGCACTAGAAAACTTGAAAGAGGCAATTGGTATGGTATCTTTATCCACTTAACACATAAGTATTCCATGGATTGGCCTCTTTCCCTCCGTCAGAAAAAAACTCTACTTATTTCACCTGTTATGCATCTTATATTTTTATTATAATTAGGTAATAGGCGCCTTATTCCTTTATGTGTGCTTCAACAACCTGTACTGTAGTGCTCTCCAGTTATTCAACATAGCTTCAAAGGTAAGCTCATTATCTTGCTTCTTGCTATAATATTTTGGCGGCGATAAAACAATTAACACGCTGAAAGATTGGAATTGGAAACCATCCAAACAAAGATTGAAAGGAGTTTTAGTAAGGTACTCCCTCCGTTTCTTTTTACTTCGCATATAAGATTTCTCTTAAGTCAAACTTCATAAACTTTGACCAAAATTATCAACATCTACAATACTAGAGATATACAACATGAAAGTTAATTTAATAATGCATCTAATGATATCAATTTTACATTGTGAATGTTTATTTTTCCTACAATCCCGGTCAAACTTTACTGCGTTTGACTTAAGACGAATCTTATATGCGAACTAAAAAGAATCTGAGGGAGTATATATATTTTGGCTACACCAAACGTACCCAAAGTTTTCATGAACACTGATGAATCCTGCCAAAGTGCCAAGTTATGCATTGGCCTCGGATGGATTTCAGGACGGCAATTTTTGCTCTGTCTGCTCTCACATTGTTGAGTCCGACCCGGATTACTCAGAGACCAATGCGGCTATATCAAACGTTCCTGTACTCCCTGATCAGCGGGGCCGGGGAAGAAGGCCCGCGATGCCTCCGCCGTTGAGGGACATGCTGCCGCTGGCCGCGGCGGCGACCGAGTGCCGGCTCACCGGACTAGGCACGATCAGGAGACGCACCAACCAAAAGCAAACGCCACCCGTGCACAGTGCGCGTGCACGGCCACCTCACCGTCGTCTACGGAGCCGCTCGGCCTGCCGCGACGAGATCCACTGGATGCTCACGCGGACGCCGGCCCTCCGCGGCTTCGACCTCGCCGCCACCAACTGGGACGGCGGCTTCTTACCCGACGACCTTGCCGGAACCATCACGGAGAGGGCCCGGCTCGACGAGGAAGGCCATCACGGCGGCGACGCGCCGCGCTTCAGCCTCGACCTGTCCCTGACCGTCTTCGTGCGGGCCGTCTGCAAGCTGCTGGCGCTCGCGTGCAGGGAGGCCGCCGCCCAATGTGGGCTGTCCGTGGCGGACCGCTATTTGCTGCTGCATATGTCAGGATCAGGATACCGCGGCTGCTGAGGGCGGCAACGACGACGGCAACTTGAGGCTGCCGTGCTCACACACCTTCCACGTCCGCTGCCTTGCGCGGTGGTTCGAGAAGGTGACGACGTGCCCCCTGTGCCGCCGCGACATGGTCGTCCACGTTGAGGCCGCCTACGCACACGAGAGCAAGGCCGTGGCCGAGAAACTAAAGGCCATATACAGGAGTATAAAATTGGACCCTGATTGCTAAAAGAACAAGTAATAAGTTTTTGCCCATTCAGCATATAGACATTTCAGCTAAAAAAAGCATATAGATATTACAGATTTCTCTCATAATTATTGGAAATGCTAAAAAGGGAGTAACGGGCCGGGAAATGGCAATGTAATCATATACTTATAGAAGAAACTTTTTCATGTACATTTGCTTGGTTCCATTCCATAATCTGCCAAACTAACCAGCCAACACTTTCATCATCTCTCTTCGAGTATGTATATATGACGTTTGTGTTCACACAAAAGAACAAGAAAAGAAAAAAGGCCTGCACCAAGCATAGCCGGAGGGGCTCAGTCGGAGTCGTCGCGGTCGTGCCAGCAGAGGAGCATGGAGACGCACCGCCCGAGGATGTACAGCCTCGTCTTGTGCTGCTTCAGCATGGCGCAGCAGCTGCCCTGCCGCGGGCGCCGCGGCGGCGGCGGCCGGGAGCGCCGATGCTGCGCCGCCGTCGTCGTGACGAGGTTGCTGTACGCCGTGCAGACGGAGTGGGGGACGGAGGCGGCCGGGAGCTCCATGTTTTGAGACGAGCGGGCGTCGCGGCCTAACGAACGCGAGGATGCGTGGACACGTGTAGAGAGAGTTTTGAGATGGACTGGTGCTGGGAGTCTGGGTCTGGAGGAGAGCGATGAAGAGAGATCGATGCCGGTGGTTAAATAGGCCCGGTAGGGTGGATGGATCTTCCAGGGCCGGGCCCCCGTGAGGTGGGGTGCATGTCAGCACGTGGCGGTGGGCCGGATTCGGTGAACTGGATGGTGACTGGGCACTGACGATTTTGGCCTCTCGCATGTTTTTTTTGGCACACATGCTGTTTTTCTTTGTCGAAAAAAAACATGCTGTTTTTCTTATAAAAATCTCTGGCCCCCTCAAAAAAAAATATAAACTCTCTCACTATATGGTACTATTACTTTCTGTGTCATGCAAACCTTATGCAATGGCAACTAAACGTAATGTTAACGTTACATGACATTATTTAGAAAAGATGGGCTATTATAGATTATTCAAAACAATAAATTAGGTCACCTTTTTCTCTTGAAAACGAGGATAACCCCGGTTTCTACAACGAGCGAATGCACACAACCATCAGGTCACCTAAAATACTATGTTCTTCGTTCACAAATATAAAAACATTATGGATATCTTAATATGGACTACATACAGTCTTAGATAAGTGAACAAACATACTAAGCGTGTATATGTACCCGATTTAGAGAAAAATTAGAATATCTTATATTTATGAATAGAGGGAGTAACGAGATACATATCTCTTTTTTTTTGCGGGGTAACAAGATACATATCTCGGGAGTAACATATTATACTATGTATGTATTTTGGAGATAGGTATCATACATATGATTAGCAGGTCTCAAAAATTATCCGATATGGAGAAACTTATTCGACTTTGCTACTTAATGTTATTGGTTATTTGCCCACCTTCAACCAATTCAAATGAAAGAAGATGTGCCCTTCATCTAAGTCCTTCCGCTCCACTAGTGAGTTTGCGTCGGTCTTTTCTTGGCGGGGGTCGGGCCGCTCATGTTTATTTGCTCGTCGTCGACTATTGTTACCTCCCTCATGCTAACACAACCCTCAACAAATTTGCCGCCCTTCTATGTTATCAGAGCTCGGCATATAATCATTACTTAATTATCCAGCTTGGGGCCGACCACTACGATGGCTTATGTAGTGACTTCGTCAATCTCAAGATATTGTGTTGGCTCGGTATCTCGAATGTGTTTATAGGGATAGTGTGTGCATACATGTGTTTATAGGGATGGGTGTATATGCGTATATGAGGCCATTTTCATTTGTATTGTATAAAAAAATTGGTATCAACCAGTAGCATATCGCAATGTTAAAAAAAAGCATATCGCCACCCTAACTCCTTTAGCCCCGGCCTCTGAATGTTGTGGTGCCAAAATTTAGTTGATAGCACATTGGTATTTTATTTTGCGGGATTGCTAAATCTCGGTCGACTAAGACTTTAATCAAATTTCAGTCAATGTTAGATTCGTGAGATCTTATGTGAAGATCTGTGCATTTTTTTTGTTTTTATATATTATGTCACTTGACTAAGAATTGGTTAAATCTCAGTGGACTGAGACCTAGCCACACTCTTTACTTTAACCTGGCAAAGTGGCAAATCTAGAGTAAAAGGTTTAGCTACAAGCCTACAACACGCACCATTTATGGCTAACTCGTTATAATTTTAGACATACACCCTCATAGCCAGCATCAGGTTTGCCATATGGCACTGCAGCTTTTTCACAACACACGACTCACGACTGACGACTACTTTTCACAGTTGAGATTGGTCTCTCTTTCCAATCTTAGTACAAAAAAGAGTCAAAGAGGCATTAATGTTTTGCGGGTTCTAGAAAAACATTCGAGATTGGCGTGCGATGTGTTGTGTGCCATAGTGTCCACAATGAGAAAGCAAAAGCAAGAGGCAAAATGGGAAACTGGCTTCACAAGACAAATCAGCATTCTTTTTTTTTCCTAATATATTGATATAGCAGAATAATATCCAGTTACACCCAAGACCTAGGTCAGGAGCTCAAACGCTCGCACGCGCGCGCACGGTCCACCGACGGCGGATGGAAGGCTGGCCGGCGTTCCTCCAGCCCCACAGGGCATCATGATTCAACCTCTCCGTCGGCGTCCACGCGCGCGCGCGCACGGGCACACGTACGATGCCGTTGCGCCCACGAACGTTTGTGCCTGTACACCAGCGACGCGCACGAAGGCTTCCGCTGCCGCGCGGGCGGTGGCGTCGTCTTCCTCCTCCGCCCGCGAGCTCCGGACACACCACGTTCCCGCACCGCACGCGCGTCCCTTTCCCATCATCGCCTCACTGTGGGCGCGCGCCCACGCCGCTACGTCCATACGCGTACGCGCCGCGCGGCGTCCTTGTCCCTCGTGCATGCATTTTCTCCTCTCTCTCTCACACACACACACAATGTCGAAGTGGTCCATGGCGTCGACACTACAGATAGATGAGATGATAACACTGACTAGGACCGGCCAATGCACACACACACGTAGCTCTCGGCGTTCAGGCAGACAGCCAGTCCACGCACGTACGGGGCTGCCCTCGTGGGATGTCGCTCACGCACTAGGGCCCCGGGAATGGATGCTTCCGCCAGCAAAATTTGACACGGCGCGAGAGAGATGCTAGAGAGGAGGAACAGAC